GAAGAACAAGCGATACATTGATAAAACTTTAATGGCCGTCATTTAAGCGTCGATAAACGTATTTGGTGTAATAAATCAAGCACGCATGCAAAACATCAACAAAACATCAACAAAGTGTTTCTCAGAGAAAACTGTCGCAAAGTTGAAATCCCCATGATCAATATCATCGGCGTACACGTTGGCTGCAAGTAGAAAACACCTAAGCAATTGTGCCGCAATACAATACAGAAAGCTCCATACAATGGCCACTGTGAAAGTTAACTGACCCTGGCAAATTATCGCTCCCACAAAAACATAACACTGCATATGCCGAGCATTTCGATTTTGCCAGGAGTGAATGCAGGAACGAGCAATCATCATTATCATCAACAGCAGTACATCAGCTATTTGAACTGATGCTTCGCTGCCATACAACCATGAGGACCTATGAAATAAAGAATAAGAAGAGGGAGAGAAGGGGGACTTAACTGAAAACCTTAATGCCCTAAGCAAACATTCAGGGTCAAGGCGTCTACACCTTGTGTAGTCAACATAGCGTCACAAAAAGCTGGCTATCGCGCAAAGATAAGACGGCATCGGCGAGACAGCTTCCTTGCGGATTTCACTGCCACGCGTCATAATCAGCCATTACCCCGCAGATAACTCAGCACCAAACACACTTTAAACAGACAATCCGATTAGGAGACGGTAGCAGACGCGCCACTGGTGTCTACTGCGAGCCATGTCCTGTAAAGTCTCGAGCCAAGCACAAGGTGAGTCACGTGGACTCCAACACGGAAGGCGAGACGGACCAACGGTACTCAGTTTGGTCGTCAGTGACTTCATTTCCCGCTGCCAAGTCAACTTCTGTCCACCCCGAGCCTTGCGCCACCCTACATCTGGTAGACTGAACAAGACCCTCCTAGGTAAGCGGAGACCAGGCAGGCGTAGCACGTGCCCGAGCCAACGCAACTTATTCAGTGCTATCTGTTGTTCTAGGGAGCTAGCATGATTACCACCACCTAGTACTCGCCTACGCACATCATCGTTGCGGACACGCTGGTGCCGTCCGACACCAGCAATGCTTCGAAAACAACGATGATCAAAGACTTGAAGGCGCCTCAGCCCTTCAGACCGAAGGGGCCAAGTTTCACTACCATAGAGCAGAACGGCCCTCACTGTGGCCTTGTATACCCGGCCTTTCAGACAGGGGGAAACTCCCTTCTGTCGCCAAAGATGACGCAGGTTCAAGAATGCAGCTCTGGCCTTTGCAATGCGTGAGCTCACGTCAGTTTCTATGTGCCCATCATTGCTGATGCAGCTTCCAAGATAAGTGAAATGATCAACAACCTCGAGTTCCTCGTTAGCAAGTGTCAATGGATCACCAAGTAGCTGGCGGTCCTGCAGCAACACTTTTCACTTTGAAGGTACGAAGTGAATACCAAATAATGGGACCACTCTGGACAGGCTATTCAGTGTTGATTGTGCCGCCACAACATTGTCGGAAAGCAAGACGATATCGTCCGCATAATCTAGATCAACTAACCTTTCATCAGGCAGCACTTCAACGCCTACATCGTGAGATTCCGCAAGGGAACACTCCATGATAGAATCCACGACGAAATTGAACAAAAACGGGGAAATTGGACAACCCTGACGAACACCACTTGTGGTCGGAAAGCTATCCGATAGGCCACCGTAAACCCTGACGCGGCCTGCCGTGTTTGAGTATAGAGCACGAAGGATGTTCACGTATTTCGTGGGAACACCTTTCCCCGCAAGTATCTTAAACAGAATGCATCGATCGACTGAATCGAACGCACTCTTGAAATCGAGGAACACAGCTATTGTGGGTCTGCGGTATGCGTGGCGCTGCTCTAACACCTGCCGCAAAGTAAATATATGGTCTATACAGCCAGGTACTGGGCGAAAGCCGGCCTGCTCTTCCCTAATCCGAGATTCCCGTTCCACAGTGAGGCGACGAAGGATAATCGAGGCCAGTAATTTTGTCACAACTGGCGTTAGGCTAATACCATTGTGGTTCGCACAGTCTGTGCTACTGCCTTTCTTGTATATTGCCACAATAATCGATTCGCTCCAATTAGCCGGCACACTCTTCGTTTCAGGTACGTTCGAATAGGGAGGTCAGTGCTTTGCAGAGGACCTCACCTCCATCCTTAAATAGTGCAGGTGGGAGGGAATCCGGGCCAGCGGCACGAAAACGATTGAGGGCTGTGATCGCGTTTCGGACCTCGGTCTCCGACGGAGGCTCTAAACTAACCGACCATGGCTCGTCCTGCATCACCTGAGTAGGAAGAGGTGCGGGAGCAGGGGGCCAGCTGAACTGATCTTTAAAGTGTTCAGCCCAAACAAGCAAACGTACCAATGATATCTAATATCACTGAGGAATCACAAGTGTTGCCTTTCCCAATCAATTAGGTAACTGTGTCTCCTACTGCCAAATAACTCAAAAGCGCACAACGAGCACTATACCACAGGTCTAAACGTGCGAACCGAAATTTTAAACCATTATTTTAAGGGACACCAGAAAATAGCTTCAGTATTGCTTGAACCTCTCAGTTAGCGTTGACAACAAACTATGTGGCCAAAAGCGAGGAAAAGGGAACTTAAGGAAGGAAAACGGAGTAGAAAGGGTCACCGGAAAAACGTTGCACGGGAGAAAACTGGAAGAAGGCGGCTAGTAAAGGATTCCGGATGTTGTGGTTTATCCGTCGTTCTTTTGGGACCCTCACCGTTGATGTGTTTGTGAAGCCCTTCTCAGCGTTTGTGCGACCCCATCTAGAATATTGCGTCCAGGCCTGTCCACCATGCCTTGTCAAGGACAAAATGGCACTAGAAAGGGTGTTGCGTGTCGGTATTAGGTTGGTCAAGGAATTACGAGCGCAAACGTACCCCAAACGCCTATTTAGTTTGGGGATGCAGTCAATGCGCTATTGAAGGATTAGAGGGAACCTAATCCTAACCTACCGTATTTTGACGGAAGGTTGGTCCTGATGTGTCCTGGCTATTTAGTCCTGCTAGGTTATCTGGTCTCTGCGAGCAATCTATGATTCTGGACAAACCGCGGTCCAATCGAGTTAGAGCGGAGACACGGTTATCATGTCGAGTCATCGAGCGCTGGAACCTGCTTCGAGAAAATGTTGTCAAGAAAGCTACGGTTAAGGGGTTTGAGCGTCAACTAGACGCTCCCGGGTGGCAACACGAAACCTTTTTTTTCCTGACAAATTCCCATCTTCATACTTCGATTCTATTTTTCTTTACTTTTCCTCGCCATTGGTATTATTCTCTTCTTTTAACCGATTTTCCCCTATTCTCTTACCTTCGCTTTTTCTTTCTCTCTTACTTCACGTAACTGACATAGCTGGGACAGCTATGTAAGGAACTTGGCCATTAAATTGGTGGATCAGGGTGTTTTTCGGGTGTTTTCCTTTTAGACCAATCAAGAAGTCGGAGCACCTCTATCAACTCCTGGATCGACGACCCGCTCAAGAAGGAACACTTACGGGATTCATCCTATCGTTCCAGTCCCAAATTGAAATTGAACTTGAGATTGAGACTCTTCAGCTGCCCATCCCAGGACAGATGAAGCCGTATTTGGGCGCCTGTTGAATTTGTGCTACCCATGTTCACAGAAAGCCAGTCGAGCACGCATAACAGCGTATGCCGTTTACGGATAACACGCGTGGCTGTGTGCAACCACAAGGTAAACCTAAAGGTTGTTTTCACTATGTCACAACTGCAGCATTGTCCTTCGCATTTTTTCTTACGTAAGTTTGCGTTATTAGCCTCTACGCTTTCAGTAATAGGAAACAGGAAAAGTTAAACTGAAAACATGTAAATGAAACTTTGTACTTCTGAGTAAGAATGGTTTTGAACTAAATGAAAGCTCACATCTAAGAAGTGAAGCGATATATTTTGGGTGTACGTCGTATCAGTACCACGCATGAATTTAAGAAATCCCAAAAATACAAATTAACCAGTTAATGTACTTTTCTAAACAAAGATACAATAGGGAATAAAGATGGAATTACTTCAACACCATCTTATTTCCTTTCGCTCATAAGTTCAAATGGGATGGAAAAGGTAGGAAATTCTCAAAGATGTTCCTCCTCGACTGCGTCGTGAATCAGGACAGAGTCCGTGGGGTAAGTCTGAAACCGAGGGGAGCCAAACTAATACACTCGGATCAGATCACGGTCAACCAATCAATGCCTACGTGGCCTGCACTAGTAGCCCCCGCATCGATAACGTAGTTACCCGACATATCCCAGGAACCATATAAGGTTACTTAATCAAAACAACTTGAAGTTCAACTATGCATCTGTCTAAAGAGTCCATAAGTATTTAACAGCATTTCATTGCTTTAAAACGGTAATTCTTGACAGCTATTGGGATATGCGAAAGTGGGGTATAACGAGTAGTCGCAGATTTCGCTCTGAGCATCAGCCAGATTATCGAAGGATACAACATTTGAGGCAACATCGGTTCATTGGTTAATTGGTATGCAGAGCAGCAGGGGAGACCATTGTCAGCTCCGTCGATTCCGATTCAGGGCAAGTTTGACGCATTTGCCTGCGAGGAGGCATTCCTCTCGGAATCCACGTCAATGCAGTAGGAGCAGGAAAATAATGCATTCATCAGATAGCATTAGCAATGATCTGCGGTAGGGTGTTCCAATAATTCATTAAACGGGTTGATATGGCAGCCACTGTAAAGACAAAGAGTATTATTCCCTCCTACAATTTCTACTTGCAGCCGTGTGTCAAAATGTCTACGTCGAGCCGAGTGTTTGTAGCTCACAAAAGTCCCCTTAGGATCGACGCGTGTGGATGAGATTACCACGCCGACGACCATAACCCATAGGGAACAAGTTCAACTTTTTCACACTTGTCATAAACAAATCGATGTGTCGATAAAAGTATCAAAAAAGAGTCGTTGGCAATTAACAAACCTAAACGATTTCCAGTAAGGTAGGCAAAGTGAAAAAATGTTGAACTCACATCTCACCCAAGTATGTTCCGACGGCGAATTTCGAGAGACGGTCCTTTTCCTCTAAGAAAAAACTGGCAACGGATTCAGGAGTTTTTTTCACGACATTATGCTCAAAAAGATATTCCAAACCCTTAGTCGATTTGTCAGATAACGCGGTACTATACCTGTTTCGGACTAGTATTAAATTCTTTGCAACCAATGATTCGTCTCCTTGTAGTTACATCATCACTTAAAGTCAGTAAGGTAAGAACAAAAAGCCTGTACCATTCGACTGGGAAGCCCAAACTCTCAATCTGGTTGGTAATATCGTGGAGCTCAAGCTTAAGAGACTGTGCGACCACTCAAAACAGGATTACAACTTACTTCAATATTTTTTATAACTTGAAGCTTCTGTTTCCGGATGAAACGCAAACGTTCTTTATCCTCAACAGTCATCTCTAAAATAATAGATCTAAATAAAAATTGAACCGACCTTCACATTCCATTGCACCGCCAAGCGCAACAGCGAAAATAAACAAACAAGTATCTTCGGATCATTGGATCATTGGATGATAGAGAGCAGTAGGAAGCTCCTTTGTCAGCTCCTTCACTTCCCGATCATTGCGGAGATGGCTTGGGTCATTGCGGTAGAAGGTTCCGCAGAGGATTGGGTGCCTTAGAGGCAGCAGAATCCCAGCGCGCTCAGGTGAGAATCTAACAGTTGTTTGAAACGTTCCTCTGTCTCAGCATCAACAACAGGATCCGGCAACCGGTTCCAATCATTCACCACGCGAGTTGATAATGCCAAATTGAGCCGCACACGGAGATTCCTCGGTTTGAACAGTTTCATGCGGTGGCCTCGTGTCGAACTCTCAGTGTTAAGTTAAAAGAAGTCCTGTAACTCGCAACCCAGTTCTTCTCTGAGAATACGTCGGGTAAAAATCCAATCTCCTCGGTGACGGCGGTAACCTAGAGAGAACAAGTTCAGTCGTTGAAGTCGGTGTGGATACGACATTTCTCGCAACTCAGGGACGGATTTGGATCCACGCCGTTGAACCTTCTCTATCATATCACATTCGGATTTGGTGAGAGGGTAGGCAGCGGGTAGTCCGTATTCGAGAATCGGGCGTACGTGCGAGCCAAACGGGAGTCGGAAAAGTCCCGGGGTCAGGAGAGAAAACCCTCTACGTATAGAATGGAACATCCTGTATTCCGCGGCGACCCTCTTCTGGGTGTCTTGAATAGATTTGAGGTCTGATGACACTATCACTCCAAGATCCCTCTCTTGGGTTGCGCTTCTGAGCAAGGAACCACCAATATGGTAAGTTCCAAATGGGCTTGATGAGCCAACGGGGAGAACAGAGCATTTATCACGATTTACGGGCAACTGCCACTTAATCGACCAGTCATGAAGTAGATCGAGCGTGGTTTGTAATCGGTCGGCGTCTTCAAGGCTGGATACTTCCATCCATAGCTTTAGGTCGTCAGCGTAGATTAGGCAATCCGTCTGAAGAGTGGATGGTAAGTCGTTGATGAAAATATTTAAAAGTACGGGACCGAGGACAGAGCCCTGTGGGACCCCGCTCGTCATGAGAACAGGAGCAGAAAATATGTCATTCACCTTCACTTGCATAGAGCGGTCGTTTAGGAAGTCGGAGATCCAAGACAGGAGCTTCCCAGAAATACCGATTCCTTGGAGCTTAAACAGGAGCCGTTCATGCGGGACTTTGTCAAAAGCTTTACTGAAGTCAACAAACACAACGTCCAAGCGTTTGCCGGAGTCTAGTGACCTTGCCCAGGCCTCCTTAGCAACGAGCAAGTTCGAGGTATAGGAGCGTGCTTTTCTGAACCCATGCTGGGCAGAAGAAATGACATTGTCCCCCAAGATGAAGAGTAACAGCTTGTTTTAGGATTCGTTCCATAACTTTACACACTACTGACGTCAAACAGATTGGACGATAATTGGCCGGATCATGTCGACTTCCTCCTTTGTAAATGGGTTTGACGATACCCACTTTCCAAGCTGAAGGTAGACGGCCAGCTTCTAGTGAGTGACGAAAGACTTGACATGTGGGTGAAGCTATGTACTCCGCCACTGTCCTGAGGAACAAAGGATGCAATCCATCAGGTCCGGGTGAGCTATACGGATCTAACTGAAGAAGAAGTTTCATCACAGAATCAGTGTTAATATCTACTTGGGCCAACGAAGATGGAAATGTGGATACGGCTTTGTCACTAAATGGGGTTCCTTTCGCGTAAACAGAGGCGTATTGCTTAGCCAAGTGACTAGCTTTCTCAGCGTCCTCGTGAAGTAAAGCTTGATGATCACAGGAACACAAAGCAGGGATGCCATTACCAGCTCTAGTGCTTCTTTTCAAATAAGAGTACAGCATTTTAGGCGCGATGCGGGAGTGTTTTGCCAAGGATAGTTCGTATCGTTGGCGTTTCTGGCGATCCATTGCGACACAAACATTTCTGACTGTCTTGTAGTGAGAGAAGTCGAGTTCTGCATGAGATGGCCTATAGCGGTCCCATAGTTTGCGCCTTCTATTCATATTTGATCTCAACTCTCGATCCATCCAATGTGGACCTCTAGCGAAGGGCTTTCGATGGGAGAAAGGAACGACCTGCTCAATTAACGACGTCATTTTGGAGAGTACAAGATTCCATGCGTCATCGAGGTGAATGTGTTCAGGGATACCCCAATTCGTAGCGCTTGCGGCCGTTTTCAGACGGTGTGGGTCGGTACGCCAAAAATTTCGACGGTGACCACAGTGGCTATGGATCGTGAGACGGCGAGTCCAGTGAAATGAAACAACACAATGATCGCACTTGCCTATGGGTTGAAGAACGGTTAGGTCCGTGACATCCGAATCTGCCGGGGAGAGCACGAGATCCAGGATGTGCTGGGTCTGGTCTGGAAAAATACGAGGAGGCGTCAAGACATGTTGAACGAGGCTGCAATCGAGAGCGGTTTTAAGCAGTGTGGCGTCGAAGGAGTCAGATCGGCGATCACAAAGAAGTAGGTCCCAATCGATATCCGGTGCATGGAAATCCCCCAGGATTAAACAGTCTTTGTGCCCACCATACATTCTTATCGAGCCCAACAAGCGCTCTCCGGGACCTGATGGCGCTCTGTAGACGACACCGACCAAGAGAGATCTAAAGCCGTCATGAACACGGCACCAGAGGGCTTCGAAATTGTCATCCTGGTCACTGATAGCTTCAACTACATGTATTTTGAAATCTGTCTTCCAGTGGAGGATTACTCCACCACCTGACCTCACCCCGTGGCGATCGGACCGGGGTGGTGATATCCAGGGATAGACACTTCCGAGTCCGTTATATCTGAAAATAGCCAGGCTTCGGTGAAGGCCATCAGGTCTGGACGAGTCTCCGAAGTAAGCAACTGAATTTCGTCCAGTTTATTCCTTAGACTGCGTACGTTGGCCGTTGTTATACTTTACTGTCTGGGGGTGACAAGATTCGGCCTCCAGCGTGCTCTTGTACTCTTCCGAACTACACAAATATCCACGATATGTAGGTCGGTTTCACCACTCGCCCGGCGCGTTCGGAGCTCCGCTACAGCCTTCTTCATTTTAATTCGGTCCTGGGGAGAGAGGTCTCGTAACACGTAGAAAGGTTCGCCTTTGAGACGTGGAGTCCGTCGAAGGATGCGCGCGCACTCTTCTTTGGTTCCGCATACAAACTTGAGGGGTCGAACCTTGGAGGAATTATCCTGCTTCTTACCGAGGCGAAAGGCAGAGACAATGTTTATTCCTTGTTCGCCTGCATCAAACATTAGAGAAATCATCCGCTCGAGCAGTATTTGATCATCCAACATTCGCTCCGCCGAGGTAGCCTTGTCCGATTCTGCCGCGTTCACGATGATGAGACAGCGGTCACGAGATGGCTGAATGCGCTCTGGAATTGGTGGCTTACGAGATGCTGGATTTTCCTTTATCACTTTTTCCAGCTCAGAGATTCTGTTGAGAATTATCTTCATCTGCGACTGAGAAGATGGAAGCTCAGGTTTATTCAAAGACTGTCTTAGCCTTTATGACCCATGTGGCTGGACCTTGGCCACACGAGGCCAAAGTTGCTTTCCCATTCACTACGTCCGCATATGACTTCGTCGTAGGCTCAACAGGCCGGATGTGTATCAATGGGTCCGAATGAGAAGAAGACGGGGCGGGGGTGGCCGCGACCTATGGAGCGTCGCTGGAAGATGCGTTGCTACGCTTCCTGGCACGCCTAGCAGAAGGAGCAGAAGAACGTCTTTCAGGATGTTGATGTGGCGGACATCTTGCCAACGCAGCAGCATCGATGCAATATCGACAAATCCATAGCAAACCCTTGTGCTCAGCATAGGTCTTGAAGCGCGGTTCAGTAAGTTGCGAGCAACGCTTTTGGCCACATGCCCAGAGTTTGCAGGCAATGCACTGGATACCCTTAGTCACCACTTTCGCACAATGCAAACATTGTGAGTTAGACATAATCACTTGATCCAATGATCCAGTGACCTGTCTCAGGAGAACAGAATGCGCAGGAGGTCGCTATCCGCAGCGCAGCGCAGACTGCACCGTATAGCCCTACATAATTACGGGTAAACTACACAACAACTAGCAATTTTAGTTAGTTATTTTTATAGGCACCAAACATGTGGTTCAGTTCAGTTCAGATGGGGACTGGAACGATAGGGGAATCCCGTGAGTGTTCCATCTTGAGTGGATCGTTGAGACAGGAATTGATGATGTGCTCAGTTATAGATGGATCTAAAACGGAAACACCCGTTTCGCACCCTGGCCAACCAGTTAATTCCCACATTTCCTGCCCTAGCAGTCCCTGCTTTGGCAGTCACGTGAAGTAAGCAAAGGATAGGAAGAGAAATCGAAGGTACGGAATAGGGAAGTGCACTGAAATAAGAAAATAATACCAATACGTGAAGAAAAGTAGAGAAAAGAAAATCGAGGTACGAAGATGCAAGTTATTCAGGCAAATGCAAAGGTTTCGTGTTGCCACCCAAGAGCGTCAAGTTGCCGCTTAAACCCCTTAACCGTAGATTCCCTGATAACAGTTTCCGGAAGCATGTTCCAGCGGTAGAGGAAACTGCGGGACAGCCGGATTTCCCCCTAAGCCGATCGAACTGCTGTTTGTCCCGCTTCAACGAATGACCGCGTATAACAGACAATCTAGCGGGACTGAATAGCCAAGATAAATCTGGACCAACCTTCTCAGTCAAGATACGGTAGGTTAGGATTAGGTCTCTTCTAAGCCTTCGGTAGTGCATTGAATGCATGCCTAAATAAAATAGACGCTCGGGGTACGTCGGTCCCCGTAATCCCTCGACTAACCTAGTACCCACTCATAAAACCCTCTCCAGCTCCATTTTGTCCCGGACGAGGCAGGGAGGACAAGCCTAGACGCAGTATTCCAGATGAGGCCGAACGAAAGCCGAGAACAGCCTCGCAAAGATGCCGCCCGTCAAGACTCCGAAGGAACGTCG